GAAGATTTTAATTTTATGCTGTGTTTCTCATTTTGTTATTTTTAAGTATTAAAAAAAGTTTGTAGTTTACAAATTGCTATTAAGATACATTGTCTTCTAAAAGACCAAAATCTGACATTTGTTGCACTTTTATTGATTTTGTTTTAATTTGTCCCTGTGAAAATCTGTTCTTTTTTTTTAAGTTTAATTCTATGATGATGAGATGTGGGAAAATAAAAGCATTTGATAGAGTTAATCCAGCTACATGAAAGTCTATGCTAACATGATCATAATCTTGATCTTAGATTAGATCCAAGCTAGTAATACCTTGTGATTAATCCAAATGGTTTGCATGTAGTACAAGTCATCTCACAGATGGACTAGAGAATCAGAGTTCTTCTGAATATTTGTTTTAATCCATTCTAGGATAAAAATGGCTTTTGTTTGTTTATTTTGTTTTTTACATAGAAGTCAGACTGAGTATACCAAATAAGTAACTAAGAAAAATTTTGAAATACAGGATTTTTAGATTGACAGATCAAGAAACAAAATGCTTGTTTTGTAATTCATGGTATTTTAGGAGATGCTTTATTAAAAATAGCATTTTAAGAAAATTTAACAATCAATCATATTGATTTATAATTTCAACTAAAAGCATCATAAAAGAATATAGAAAAATACGTAACTCATGGAAATAGGTTTGAGGTTTTCATTGTTCTCACGAGCATAATCTATTTTGCAGGATTTATTAATTATCCCTGTCCTGATTATGCATTTCTAGTCTAATTGACATTTTACAATGAAGAGCTGTACTTTGGCAACTCCTATCAGACATCTAACACCCTGAGCTCAGCAAGAGCTCTCAGATTCACATGGGTTGCTGTGTTCACTGTATGTGTCTGTCATTTCTGGCCAAGAGCTGCTTTGATTTCAATTTTTAATTTTTTTTTTTACTTTTTACTAAGTTCATAGGTTGACTGACTCATATCCCCAGGGGGTTCAGAAAAAAGCTTTGGCACTCTGGGATTTGCTTCCTGGTGCGAAGCTTGTCTCTGTGCAGGTGCATGACTGTAGGCAGACTTGTTGACCTCTTAATCCTGAGATCTCTTCCCTACAAAAATGAGATATTGCACTAAATCTCCAGAGGTGCCATCTAATTCTAAGCTCTTTGCTAAATATAATCAATGAAAAATTACACAATAATAGAACATATTTTCATTTAGTATATGAAGGTCACTTAACTAGCTCAAAAAATTTAAAAGCCCATGGTGCATCATCCCCCAAAAGCCTTGATGGATAATACTATAGTTGAAGATTTCTTTGAACTAAAACAACTCATAATCTATATTTGTGGAAAAACATAGATCCCTATCCATGGGTATGGATTTAAAATGAGGTAGAGTTAGTTTGATTAAGCTAATATAAAATAATGTAACCAGTAATTCAAATACGTTGTTTACATGATTTCCAAGCAGATTAACTGGATCTTAGATTAGTTCCAGCCCTTAGCAGCTCACCAAGGTTATAGCAAGTAATCACAAATGTCAATCAAAAGTAGGTTTGAGTCTTATTGAGTAAATTTATTAGGCAGCATTTTTAACATGAACTGTGAAAGAACAAAAAGAAATCAGGCGTCTGTCCATTTCATTTTTATCAGCATTATACCCAATTGACATACATATAAATAAATTATTAAAATAGTTGGTTGAGTTTCTTATGGATCCCATTAGTCACAGACTTTCTGATCTATAAATGAGTACTTATGATGACAAGAAAATGAGCATAAAGAAAATAAAACACAAAACTATTTGACTGTCAAGCAGCCATTTAAGCCTTGAGAGACAAAACTTCTCAAAAGTTACTCAGCAAAAGTTGTAGAATAAACTGCCTAACCCAGGAGATGATCAATAAACACATGACTATATAATGATCATTAAACAAGAGAAATAAAGGAACATGCACCATTCATGTAGCCTACTTCTGAAATGGACAAATATTGATATTAAAATAATAATTTAATTTCTCTTTTTCATCATCTTTTTTTATTTATTTTAGGCGTCCTGGTGAACCTCCTTTGATAAAAGGCTGGCTTCCTTATTTTGGAGTGACCATGAACTTCCAAAAAGATCCTTTAGGTTTCATAAGAACTCTGCAAAAGCAATATGGTGACATATTCACTGTTCTTCTTGGGGGTAAGAAACACTTCTATGAGCAACTTACATGTGTTACAATTTCTCACTTGTTCTGAATGTCTTTGTATTTTCCTATAGACAAAGCTTGACATATTTTATAACACTGTTTTATTTGTAGATCTGATCAAAAAGCATACCATGTGTTTGAGTATAGTAATCAAAATATTAAAAAACAAATTACAGGATGCTCTTTGTGGTACCTAAAAAGTTCCAATATCATAAAGTCACTTGTCACTTTTTTTTAAAATTTGGCTTTAAGAAAAGCTTAAAAATAATTAGAAAAAAAATAAAAAGAAATAGAATGTAGTTTTATTAAGCTTTCATTTTTAAAGAAGTTTTAGAGTTAAGGAAATTTAACAGATAGCTTAACAGAGTCCCCATATGCACCTTCTCTTCCCTAATAACAGATTCTCTAATGATTAACATTGCATCACTGTGACACATGTATTGTAACTGAGAAGCCAATACTGATGCATTATTCTTTGTTGGTAGGTTTTTTTTTTTTTTTTTTTTAAACATTTATTTATTTATTTATTTATTTAGTGTGTGGCCAGCTCAGCCCACCAGGGGGCGGGGCTGGCTGGCATGTGGTGCTAGGGGATTGAACCGTGGTCCCTGTGCTTTGCTTAGCTTAGCTTGTTCTAAGTAGGTGCTTTAGACCACTGAGCCATCTCACCAGCCCTGTTGGTAGGTTTTTAATTGGTCTGTGAAATTCATTCATTGAAATGATTTATTTAGAATTTTATATCTTCTTAATTCAGATTTGAAATTCATATGTATCTAGGAATCTGTCCATTTCTTCTGTGCTTTCCACCTTGTTAGAATGCCAGTTCTTGCAGTAGGTATTGATGATTTTCTAGATTTCTGCAACAGCTATTTTGATTTAACAATTTTCATTCCTAATTGCACAGATGTGAGTCTTTCTTTTTTTGAGAAGTTTGACTAAGGGTTTCTCAATTTTATTTAATCTTCCAAATAACCAACTCTTTGCTTCATTGATTTTTTTTTTTTTTTTTTTCGGAACCAGGGATTGAACTCAAGCCCTTGCGCTTGCCAGGCAAGCGCTTATTCTACTGAGCCATCTCCCTGGCCCCAGCTTCATTGATTCTTTTTATTATTTTCTTAGTTTCAGTTGCATTATTTGTGGTACATAAAAAGATTCAGTCTCGCATAGTCATTTGTCACCTTTTTTTTCTTTTAAATTTGGTTTGGATATAAGAAACATTTAAAATTTTATAGCCGATCTTTATAATTTCTTCCTTGTACAAGGGTTGGACTTGACTTGGTCTTCTTTATCTAGATGGTTGAGGTTCACCATTATATTGTGCATCTGAGCTCACTCTATTTTTCTGAAATTCGAATTCACCACTACAAATTTCCCTCATAAGGCTGCTTTCATTACATCCTGAAGGTTCTAGTATATTCTATTGGCATTATCAATTAATTGTAGAAAGCATCTAATTTTTTCTAAATTTCATTTCTGATTTATTATCTATTCAGGAAAGTAATTTTTATTTATTTATGAAGTTCTTGTGGTCTCTTTTACAATTGATTTGTAACTTCATTGCACTATTGTCTGATAATGTCCATGGAATAATTTCAATTCTTTTGCATTTACTTAAGCATGTTTTATGGACTAGCTTGTGGTCTATTTTAGAGAACATCCCATGTACTGCTGAGAAGAATGTGCTTTCTGATATGGGATGGAATAATCTGTAGACAGCTACTAAATCCATTTGTTGAAGTTTGGTTAAGTTCTGATATTTCTTTATTGATTTTTTTTGTATAACTGATCTATTTTTGACAATGGCTATATTGACATTCCCCACTACAATGTATTAGTGCTTATTTGATTTTTCATATCTATTAATATTCATTTTATATAACTGACTGTGCTGCTATGTGGTACATATATAATTACGATTACTGTCTCTTCCTCTTAGATTTTCCCCTTTACAAGGATGTAGTGCCCTTCTTTGTCTCTCTTGATCAGTCTTGGCTTAAAATCCACTCTGTCACCAAATAAAATAGCTATCTCTGTTTTTTTTTTTGTTTTTTGTTTTTTTTGTTTTTTGTTTTTGTTTTTTTTTTTTTTCTGATTTCCTGTCCCATGAAGATTCTTTGTAGGGCATATAAATCTAGGTTGGAGGTTGTTTTCCTTTAGGCCTTGAAATACTCCACTCTTAACTGTCCTTGACTTGAGTGTTTGTGTTGAAAACTCTCCTGTGATTATAATGGACTTTCCTTTATAGATGAGTTTTTTATTTTCTCTAACAACTTTTAACATTCTGACCTTATGTTGTATTTCTGGAATCTTTACTATTATATGCGTTGCTGTAGCTTTTATTTGTGGCTAGTTGGAGTTTTATATGCCTCACTTAGCTGTAGAAGTCAAATTCTTTTTCTGATGTTTAAGTATGTTTTCGGCCATTACTTCTGTGAACAGATTTTCCATGTCATTTGTGCTACCTCCTGCTTTTTCATTGACTCCAATCAACCTTTTGTTATTCTTTGCATCATTTAGCAGTTCTTGGCTTGATTTTTCATAGTTGCTTCTTATCTTTAAGAAATCTTGGAGCCAGGGAGATGGCTTAGTGTAATAAATGCTTCCCTGGGAAGCCCAAGGACCTGAGTTCAATCCCCATTTCCACCAAAAAAAAAAAAAGAAAAGAAAAGAAAGAAATCTTTCTTTTCATGATCTTTAACTGAAATCCTGTTTTCCATATCTGACATTCTGTCCTCACATTTGTTCATTCTGATACATGTACTTTCAGTGGGATTTTTAATCTCAATATCTGTTTGAATCTGTTTCATGGATTCCATTAACTCCTGTGTTTTTTCATCTGTATCTGTTCCAGAGTCACTAAACAAGTCTTTCATTGTGGTAACTATATCTGAAGCTATCTGAGAAATTATTTCTGATTTGATTTTTCTCTAGAGCCTCATTAAACTATTTTGTTACTTCCACTGTTACCACTACAGAGAGCCTGATGGTTGGCTTTCAAATTGTTCCACCTCATTGCTCCTGTGTTTCTTTTCGGTAAGCTGGACATCTGGGGCTGCATCTTGCTTATGTCTTCTCATTTTATTTTATTTTATTTTTTTAAATTCTGGGTTGATGCTTGGGCTTTGAGCTTGTTGCAAGATCCTGCCCCTTCAATTTATCGGGGATGAGAAGTTGCTGCCTCTTTGGCTTCAACCCTGGTTTTTTGGCACTGGCTTATAGTGTTATTTATGACCTTTGGACACTCTCAGTCTTGGCATACCAGAAATAACAACTGATTAGAATAATGATATCATTTTGGCTAAAGTAGTACAATCAACAATAACAATAGTATCAAATATAACCTGGAAAATGAAAAACTGGTAACTATTGATTTGCAATTTTAACCATATGAACTTTATTTGTGGTTAAATAACAAATCTAAACCAATCCAGAAAATTGTATATAATATATATGCCCTCAATATAGCAATTTTTATCTTCAGAAAAAAATTTCAAAGGGCCTAGGGGAAAATAGAGAAATAGAAGAGGATGAGATTAGCAGAAAGACTAGAAGTCAAAGGAAGACCATGAAAACTTCAGAAAACTGGTGAAGCAGATGCAAGAGAGAGAGAAAAAGGAAGAAGTATAAATAGGAACAGAACATGACAACAACAAAAAGAGCTAGAAACAATATTCATACTCATATAAAACAAAAATCAATAATCAAGAAAAAACAGAAAAAGAAACAAAAACATGAACAAAAAAGAAAAGAAATAGAAAATAAGACTCCACTTCAGGATGCACCTCTACTGTCACTGTTTGCCAAATTGGGCAGACAGAGCTCAGATCTATGTGGATTACTCCAAGGAAGCCAGCATGGTTGGGTTATGGCAGGCTAATTAGACAATTTCATCAATCCTGTCTCTGTAGTTCCACTAAAGTTTAGGCTTGTTTCTGGTTGTAAGGCTGGATAATTTGTTCAAATGAGCTATTTGTTTAGTCTGCAACAGTCTTTGTTCCTCTTACTGACTTGAACTTGGCTCCTTGATCTCCTGTTAATTTAAACAGGGTTCTGCCTCACCTTATGATACATTATTTGAAGTCCAATTCATACTGGAATCTAATTTTTCTGTTTTCCTGTCGATTTTCACAAATCTTTATCATGTGTCCACCATTATAGTATCATTTACAATGGTTTCACTACCCTAAAAGCTCTGTGTTTCACTTATGTAGTCCTGTCTTCCACCCCTAAGTCCATAGAAAATACTAGTCTTGAATGTCTTTCTCCATCTTACAATATTCATTGTGATTTGAACTTCCATAAAAATAGTTGCTAAAACAAGCATCATGATTACATCATAGGATTAGGAGAAGAAGCAGAAATGTTAACTCAACCTCTTTTGATAACTCAATTATTGGTGCCTGACAAATCTCTCCTAAATTTAATAATTTACAGTAACAACTTTTCTTTGTTGTGTACACCTGTGATTACTGGTATAATCACTTGGGTCATCTGGCTTAAGAGTAGAGGCTATAAGATAGCCCTATCATGCTGGTCAGTCTTCCATTTCCACGTGGTTTTCATCTTCCAAGAAATTTTCTTACCTGAAAAATTAACATCTCAAGAAATCCAAAGGAAACGCTGCAAGATTTCTTGTGGCTTAGTCTGTGAATTTCAAAACCCACTTCTACCACAGTCTATTAGAGCAAGTTACAATGCAGTCCAAAGTCAAAGAAAGGTTAGGAAAATTGACACGGCCTCTTCCTAGATGTGGGTGAGTTATAGTGTACGGAAGCTTTTGTGAAGAGAAAAAAGGCAATGATAGTGGCCATTTTTAGATACAATCTTCCACACCAACTTATTACCTGGGCTAGAAATTCCAATTTTAATTTTAATTTTTCCTCTATTTCCTCAAGGCTGAGCACCACACTAAATTACACACATTTTTTTTTACTGTTAAGGCTAAGCTCTAAAGACTAAATTACACACATTTGTTTCCTCTTGGACTTCTGGT